CAGTGGGATTTGAACCCCAGACCTCTTGCATGGCGGTCTGGCAACCTAACCACTACACTAAGATCGCCAGACCCTATGCATTATTATTTTTTATTTATTATTAATTTATATTTTTATAATATTTTAGGAATGTAACATATGTTTATTTCATTGCAATCAAAAATCCTAGGCAAACGATTATTATTCATTTTTTATTTTTAATATTAAGTTTATATTGTTCATTCATTTATTCATTATATTTCAGAAACATGGTATACATCTATTCTAATGCAGTCAAAAAAATCTAGAAAATGACTTTACAAGTAATAATATGTACTCGCGCATTATATTTTTTATTTTTATTAATAATATGTATCAAATTTACATTTTTTATACAGTATTTAGCAACTCAAAATAATCCTATTCCAATGCAATCAAAATACCTGAACAACGATTTATAATTGGCGATAATGTATACTTGCAGTTTGGTCTAATATAACTTATATATATGTATGCAACTAATCTGATTTTATGTAAGATCTTTATTAATTTGTTGTATGTTTATTCATTTATTTACTTTGTTTATTACTATATTGAGAACAACATACTAATACAATATGTACATGTTTTGCATTACCATAATAAAGAAATTTTATTCAATAAAAAAACAATACATTCAAAAAAAAAAAATCACAAATATATTCAAAAAAAAAATAACAATACATTTTAATGTAAAGTAATAATAATTTAACAAGTAAAATAAAAGGATTAATTAATGTAAGCGTGTATTTAGAGGATAATAGCTATTAATAAATTTAAAGCTACTTTTCTTTAAAAGCAGTAATATTACTTTAATAAGTTCTGAAGCATATACATACTATGGATTGAACTCTAAATTCTTAAAATGAATAAGTTACTAAATGAATATTTTCTCAACATATTTAATAATTTCAAATAGATAGTAATGGATTATAAAAGTTTATTTTTATTTCTTGTAAACCATCAATAGTGTAGAATTATTATATCAGTACTATGAAGCAGATCAGCAAATTAGTCTAGCGATAAAAGACTTATAAAAATATATTTTTATCATTGAAAGCAAAAGAACAAGAAATACTGATCTTCTGTAAAATTATTCTTCCAAATTATCAAAACCATTATTTGAGTATTCAAATTATACTACATCTGTTGACTTTTATCTAATCGATAAGTTGAAATTTTGTTTGAAGGATGGATATCGTAGATCTTATTATATTAAAAGAAAATTTTGATAATACGCAAACTCTTATCCTTACTACTTATATTATCGCTCATATTTAATAGATATTACGAATTCACCTATATTTAATTATTTCCTTTTACGAGCTTGAAAAAGTTAAATAAAATTTGTACAACCTTTATTCGAGATTATAAATCAATATATACACAGTTTAAAATCAGAATCTTCGGTGTTACTTACTTTTTTAAAGCATATTTTGTCTTTAGGATGATATTAGGTTCATGTTAGAAGACATCCGTTGGTGCTAAATTGATTTCTTTTTTAAGGTTAGTTATAGTTTATTATCAATTAGCTAATCTTAATGCTGCAGCTGCGCCACCTATTCGAACTTTAGAGAGCCGCTCTGGTTGACTCTAGTTTAATCACCTGTGTAGCGAGCTATTTAAAATAGATAATGACTAAAGTTGTATATATAGCTTTTTATATATTCTTTATATAATTACAAACAGTAAGAACTATTAATGTATATTCTGTATATAATTCTAATAAAAATTCCTTCAGCAATATAAGCTACCTTAATAACAAAAAAAAATTAAAAATTAAAAAAAATTAAAAAAAAATTAAAAATTTTAAATATTTTAAAATTTTATTATATAAACTAGTCTTGAGCTTCTAATAAAAGTTTTTAGCTCTCGAATCTAGTAATCTTAGTGTAGTAGTTAGATTACCAGACTATTATACAAGTAGTCTAGAATTCAAATCCTACTATTGATAAATTTGAATAATTACTCAGATCTTTGTACTTAATTTATAGTAAACTCTATTTGTTTCTAGAGTTATAACTCTATAAATTATAATATACTAATATTGTCTAAATATTAGTAGTATGATATAATATTTGAAGAGACATAATATTATACAAAATAAATCTTAATAAAATCTATAGGCAGGAGACCTGTATAGTAGAAACTCTAAGTTAGTGAAGTAGTATAGCTTTTAATAGTTACAATAGCTAATGCTTGATCTAAAAGAAGACTGTACTCAAAGATTTAAATTGGGTTAGATACAAGTAAGTCTATATCACAGTGGTAATTACTATATATTATAGTAATACTAACTTAGCTTAGCAGCTAACTAAATTGAATAGATCTAACTTATAATAAGTCTCAGTGAAACTAGAAAACACATATATACTGATAGAGAGCTATGATAAGAATTGGAATCATACAAATATTATAAAGATCTAAGCAAGTAAATTTATAAAATGAATATAGACTACTCTAGTAGGTATACTTCTGAAGCTCTGTGTACTTATATGTTAGATAAATATACATCTCAAGAGAATCTAAGTTATGCAGTAAATAGATTTATGAGCAAGTCAGCTAGTTTAAATAATCAAATATAGTAATGATATTAGTTTAGAATAAAAAGAAGAGTTAATGATTAGAGTGTTTAAATAGGCAACTTATAGGTAGGTTGCAAATATAGTAGTATAGTATAGAACTAACAGATAGTTAATTATCTATATAGCAGACTACTTAAATTAAATAATGACTAAAGTTGTATATGTAGCTTGTTGTATACTTATCATATAATTATAAAACCTTTAGAAGGTTACTATTATAGTAACTCTGTAATAATAAATTAATAAAATCTAATCAGCAAAAGAAGCTATCTTAATATTATCCCTTAAACTGTTTTCCAGACAAATTTGCCTGGATTTTTAAAAAGTTTTTATAAATATTAATATAATTTAATAAAATATTAATAATATGGGGTCTAT